ATTGTCGACCAAATTGGAGCCATAATTCATAATCATCATCATCATTACAGCCCTTCACAAGTGCACTGCTGAACATAGGACTTCCCGAAACAATGCCACAAAGCGTGGCCAAATTAAGAGTAAGGTTAGAGATGGACATTTTACTGGAAAAGGGGCATTCCATCTTAGTCCTCCCGGGTGACGACACATCTGTATTTTGATTTTTTATTGACGATAGATGATAGATGTCTTTGGGTCACAGCAACCACTTCTCATAAGGTAGACTGTGTGATCGTTTATCACCCTATCCTATATAAAAAACATGTATGCGAAGATATTATGTGGATGTGATAGAAGCGAGGGAGGTTTGTCTGTATCGTGCTAAATTTGTAGTCCGTTGTTTCAGTTTTATCCCTCTGAGTGACAGGCGTGAGAGTTTATGATTACGATATAGTGAGATATTTATCACCTATCTCAGGTTACATCGTATGTCTCTTAATGTCAATTCGTACCACATAGTACCACACGTTAATGAATCCACATTCCACATTAATATAAACGTGTCACGTTTGAACGTAAATTCTTAACTGCTCGCTCTGATTCGAAAACTCCTTCACTAAATTTGGTCTGGCAGACCTGGCATTTATCTGATATAAGACGACGTTAGAACCAATTTAAGATGCATTGTTTGCAAATATTTGTAGCATAATAGGTACGTATGTCCGACTGTATACGATAAAAAAAAGAAACAAAAAAAATTAATCATTTTTTCGTCTTTTACTCTATTCTGAAAATGTTCAACAGATTATTGCATTACATAAGTAGTAACTACTCAAATAAATTGACATGTGTAAATAAAGCACAGAGAGTCACTTTGCTAAAATAGAGGTGGCTGAAGCACGTGAGGTGCAGAGAGATGGCTGATTGAGTCACAAGAACAAAGTGTTGGCAAGCCAGCACTGAATAGATCATAAGTTACTGTGACCGGGACATATGAGTGAATGATGAAATTAGAAATTGTATTATTTCATGCATTTTCCTAATGATTTATTTAAAAAAAGTACTTTTATAACTGTGATAAGTTAATATTAGTAAAGTAATGCGCTTCAATGTTCGCTTTAGAATTAAAACAATATTGCGATTTCTTGATTCACGAAAAAAAATGAATAGTTTCATTAACTTCTAATTGGTATAACAAGAACAATAGTATAAGAGAACAAAACATAACATTTTAAAATTATATCATAATTATAGTTGTTGCACTTTTAAGTATACCCAAATGGGAAACAAAGACCCTCCAGGACTCACCCCATGCCCATATCCTGCTGCAAAGCACATCTCCACCATGACGTAATGACTTCGCTTAAAATTAAGCATTTTAATATCTCATATTATAGCTACAAGTCGAAATATCATATAACTATAAACCATAAGTATATGTATAGATATTATTTTGCCTTTTATCTAGATTGTGAATAAAAATTATACTTTCAAAGAGTGTCTCCGTCGTTAAAGTAAAAATAGATCAGACCTAGTGATTTAATGGCTCATGACGAAAAGTTGCCATGTCTTTTGTGCCAAAAACGTTCGTGACATCATGGCTGGTACATCTTCGACTTTATGGACCATCACGCCCGTCCGGCGGAGCGTTATAAACCGAGTCTCGAATGCGCTGCACATGCAATAGTACATTAGGGTTGCACCATGGTTGCACCTTAAAAAGTGAATTAGATTTTGCAGTATTAAACAAAAATGAAAGTGCTGAAACTGTTTCAAAATCTTAACAGCAAAATAATTAAATTATATTTATTTTCTATTCATACATTGCCGTGTGTAGCACTGATTAATGACCATTGTGCAAGCCTTAACTGTCGTAAACTTAAATTGACTCAAATTTATATACAGTCATTCTTATTATCTTATTACATTTATTATGTTAAGGTACTTACATATTTTTCTAACGTCTCATATCATTAAAAGAAAATCTACAAACATTTATGCAATGTTTATTTAATTTAAATAGGTTATAATATTATAATGTAATGTATTTTTTAACTAATAAATGCAATCAAGTAAACATATAAGCATTCTTAGATTTGTGTACTTATAATTACCATGGACGTATAAAAAAACCATAAGTCCATGATAAGTACATATAAATACCTATAAGTATAAATATAAATAATAACCTATAAGTATTGAGAAGATAAAAAAGGTTTAATCTTTTGATATGTTTAATTTTTTAAATTACACAAAAATAAATGGGCAAAAGTCTCCACGTGCCTTTGTCGACAGTCTTGATTGAAAGCGTCATCTATTCCCTTTCCCAGACTGCTCGACGCCCTCCGTTGCACCATAAAATAAAGTTGCGTGGATATCTCTCGTATTTGTTGTTTTTTGCTGCATCGTGCCAACTTTATTCCGTTTAACGAAATCTTTTAAAACGTTTAGATCTTTTAATACGATATATTAGATAATAAAAATTGATTTAAAATCATAACAAATATCCCATAAATGTATTTTACCTACTATTCAGTTTACACGTGGTAGAGCTTCGCTGCAGGTATATTATGCTTGTAGCACGAATGGGTAGGCGCGACCGGGACCACGCTCTCACAGAACACCAGCGTAAAATATCAACTTAATGCTGCTGTGTTTCATACGGTGGAGATTGTAGAGAACTGTAGTCCATATTTACTGAAAACGAGGCATTCTATCTTAGTCCCCAGCGGTGAAGACGCACTTGCATTTTGATTCTTAATCGAGAATAAATGTAGATGTCTATGGACCACAGTATCCACTTATCATCAGCTGGACTGTGTGCTCGTTTGTCACCCTTATTCTAAAAAAAAACCGTCACTATTAAGTACGTGTAACTATTGAGTGTAAACATTATAATTATCATCATTACATAGCATCATTATCTACAGAGAAAATTTGCCATAGTTGCCACGCGGTCAGGCTTAGCAGGTGGGTTGACTTCCGCAGTTTTTTATTATTTTCAATTGTTATTAGAAAGATGCTGCTGCCCATCTACTGTTTCAGTTTGTTTTTGTCGACTCTTACTATACCTACGGGATATGGAGATCTCTACCGCTGCCACTACACGGCGAAGACTAAATAGTCCATTGTCAATTACTAGCTGTGCACCTAATCGCTAGTTTCATCTACGGCTTAAGAGAAAAGGAAACCCGTTACCCCAAGTCATCCCGTGGGCGTCGAAAGAGGCGACAAGGGGAAACCAAAAGAGGAGATAGGCATCAGCATCTTCCTGATAAAAATTTTGTAATAAAAAAGGACAGTTACCAACTCGCCTTCCAAGTGTGGCTACCGTGGCAAATATCCCTCCTATGACGCAGTATATGAGGCAATATGTGGGGGAGGTCTATGTTGAGTTAAAAGCCACTTCTGACGCTGGTTATAGTTTCACACCCATTTAGGATATTCAAGGTCATAGTTCCATCAAGTGGCCACGAGTTTTCTGGCATCTCTAAAAAAACAGTTAGTTTATCTGGTAAAAGTATAATTTAATGTTTTTAACCATTTAAGAATGTATTTAACAGCTAGCACTGGTCTTCTTGTGAAAATAGACAAATAAAAAAGGAACTTCGTAGTTTCATTATTCTAATGGCGCGGCGTTCTAAAACAGTTACCTACTTAGCTAAAAAAAGTTGATAAAGAGTGCTAACAGTGAGAAATAGATTTGTTTCCATTGAGTTATTGAAGTACATTATACATCAATGTTTGAGTAGAGTTTGTGTTGACTTTGCTAATTATTTTTCATACCTCACACTGAATCTTTCATAGTTTTAAACAGATTTATATTTTTGTTTAATATATTTTTATATTTATTTATTTATCGATTTACTAAGCTTTATTATTTAGGGATTATTATTAATATCTGTTACTTATACCCTGATGAGGATTGATCATATTACCATCTTTCTTTTAAGTGCCATTCAACTGCACGAGCTGGTTCCCACTGAAGAACGATTAATGGCAGAAACTCCAACTAAAACGCTGAACCCAAATGTAGATAAATTAATGCAACTGGGACACCCAAATACATAGATGGGTGATGGGGAAGCATTACTATTGCGATAGTAGGTATCGGCCCTGCGCTCATCGCACATCGCGCAACAGGCTACCAAATTATTGGAATAGTCTTTGCTTCTATGTCCGGCAGGTTAAGCCACTGTAGCTCAAGGGCTAAGCGCTCGCTGTAAATTTCTTAGTACGTGTGCAACCCGGCTTCAATCCCCGCCGGCACCAATGAAATTGCTAATTGCTCTAATTTTGTTAATAAATGCGTTGACGCAATTGTAGTGTGAGCAAGAATGGTTCAAACTCAGACAGGTACTATAAAGTTGAAGAAGTAGCATCCGACGCACTAAGCTAAAACTACTATACGGCTCTCCCTTTTCTTTGATAATTTTGGTTATATTTAACATTTCATTATGGTTATATTTAACATTTTTTTTTTATTAATTTATCCTTTATTAAGAATGAAAAAACAAGGTTGTAATGATATTTCCAACGTAACTAAATAGGTATATCTTATCATTGCCTTTGTATTGTTATAATAATAAAGATGAGATCAATAAGGAAATGAAAAAGGACTGAAAATACAAAGGACGACTATGGAAAGCGATTGGGATTAGATCAGGTAGAAAAGGTGTAAGCGGCGCCGCCGGCGCTACCTGCCAATGTCGCACGAGTCAAAAACATGAGCGACGTAACATAAAACACAGTTTTGTAAACAACTCTCTTTATTAATATAATAATAATAATTAGAATATTTTAATCTTCATAAATGTAGGTATTTTCCATAATCCCACATATAAAAATACATTCTTATATTTATGCACAAAAATAAGCCGTACCTAATGGTAACGGCATAATGCACTATGGCGGCATGAATTTTAAGGCACGATGATTAAGGGCTACGCCCCAGGCGGCGCCAAGAGGGCGTCGGCGACTAGATCACAGAAGTAGCGGGGCCTGGCCCCGATGGCAGAATTTCATCTGAGTGGCGCAGCAAAGGCCGGAGCACACCAGCGTGGCGCGGGGCACGCTCCAAGTGCTGCACTTTGCACTGGCACGAATGCAGACACGTGTACACCATTTGCTACCGGTAGCGATGCCACTGCTGGCCTCTTCTCATCTTCATCCTCCAACAGGTAAGGCCGGAATAATTTGAAAGGTTTTTTGGGTGGTTCGAGCACAGGCGGCGCGTAAGTTGGCACTGGCGCTGGAGGCGGTGATAGCCGTCGTAACGAGAGGTCAATAGGCTCTGTCGAAGACGGTGGCGGTATAGGAATCGGTGTCGCTATTGGCGTCGTCACTTGCATCGGCGTAGGTAGCGACACAGGTGTAGGAAGAGCTGCAGGCGGCGGTGGAGGCGGTGATGGCAGGCGAGCGCTCTCCGGCGATCCTGCGCTGTATGGTGGCGGTGATGGCGCCGGCTGCGGTGCTCTCCTTAAAAGTGCAGCTCGTAGAGCTGGTTCTGCTTGAAGCCATTTTTGGATCTGACGACGATGGATACCAAACTTCCTGGCTGTAGCGCGTTGATTGCCACGACACTGCGCGTCGCGCCTGTACGCTTCGAGAACTTGTAGCTTGAATTGTGGTGGGAAAATACGGCGGGATCCAGCGCGGCCCTCCGGACGGCGGTCGGAGGGCGCGGGGGCCGGGTGCGTGTGGGCTGCGGCCATGTCACTAGGTATACGTCTACGCGTGTTGGCTGTCGGCGCCGAACTGACTGTCGCTCGCTGGCCGCGGCACGGATGTTGGCGGCGCGAGGCTCGCACCGCCCCGACCGACGTGAGCGCGCGACGCGAGCCGCGTATGTCTGTTAGTCCTACTTCACACTGGTACATTTACAAATAAATAAAATTTGACAATATTTAACATGTATGTATAATAACCATAGAATTGTTACGTAAAGCCGGGTGATAATTCTATGCTAATAACTAATATGAAACGACTATATAGACAATAAAAATAGCAAAATTAATAGTTTAATATTTTAATTTAATTCTAAGAATTAAATAAAATTAATAAAATTATTTTGTTTCATAATATATTAACTCAAAATGTTAGGTCATTTAGTCATTACAGCCTATCAAAAGTCCACTGCTGATTTTGCCTATTTGTAAAGCATAGTTGCAACGCTTCGCACGCAGGTTAGCATCCGCAGTTATTTATTATTTTGACCTCTTATTAAGAAGATGCTGATGCATATCTATGGCTTAAAGTTTCCATCTCTCGCCTCTGCCGAACAACATAAACAAGATAACATTATGTGTGAGTGTATGTGTGCGTGAATTCTCTTTTCTCTTACACTGCCACTATATGGCAAATACATTCTAACAACCTATTCTATATGTACCCTATATAGAATAAAATTTATTAGGTTTAGGTATGTAGTTTTATAATTTAGTTGAGCTAAACTATAGAGACTACAAAACTACAAGTAATATTTTTCGCCATAGTCCTAAACACTTTTATCTGAAATTGCGAAAAGTGTATAATTATGATAAAATTGAAAAGAGAAAAGAAAAAAAAGTTAAGTTTTCGCTTTTCAATAAAATCCTTACAATATTTCACACTTGTACTATGCCCATTCATGTGTACTTTGCTTTGGAGTGTAATCTCGCCTCATTCTCGGCGTGAAAAAATGCCGCAAGTGGGAGCCGATAGCACGTAGCGCCACCATTTCTATCTTAGTTTCGCATGCTTAAAACTATAAGAACGAGCAAGATAGACAACTTGCCCTGCCTCGGTCGCTGCCACATCCGTTTACGAAACAAGTTTGCATGCGACGTTGCCGATGCGTGCGCGCGGGTGGTTCATGAAATTGTGGGACGCGCGGGCGGGGAGATCGGGCGGACAAGAATGTGCACAGCGCGGCAACGCCGCCGACTGTGGCAGACAGGGTGTCGCCGGCTCGCCGCCGTAGACAGGCCGTCGCTCAGCGGCGCTAGTCCCCTCTACACCCGCTCACAACCGCTCACACCCGCGTCGCCGCAACGCACATCAACAAGTTATTTCGGCCCGGCGTGCAACACGCACAGAAGAGCTTAATCGATGTGAAACGGTGCGGTAGTTATGATCTTTTGGCACTCACTGGCAGCTTAGCGCCATCGCCGTTTCGAGGAAAGTTGTTTATTTTTTGTGTGAGCGACGGCCGCTATCCGTGCTTGCCTCGCGTCCGGCGACCGTGAAAACAGCGATCCGACTCCGACTCCCTTTTGTGCTCAAATTATAAAATCCATGAGCACGTTTAATCTATCATCATAACTATAATTCTTGTAATAATTGTAATTGTTGTAAATAATATTAATTGCATATTATAATAAAATAAGTCAACATGACTCACGTGACAATTATTAATTATTGCTTAATTGTAACTTCTTCACCTTTGCATTTAGGTTTATTGAAATTTTTAGAAACCTACCATTAGTTATTTTTCCTTGTGGTGCAGCAACCGGAATTATTTATTTTTAACAATAAGTATACTTAGGTAGTAAGATAAAGTTATTCATATGCATTTAAGATTTTAAGCTAATAACATCATAGTCCTTGGCACAGCAAGCCAACATTTGTGTGACTCTTGTCTCTTGTCATATATTATGTGCCTCGATTTTCAGGGCTATTTGGAATCAATCCAATATTCTCACATTATGGCATCAACTCCGGCACAAAGACGTTAGGTACCTACTACGCGGTTACTTACTTAATTACCAATCAAGAAATAAAAACCCCAATAGGTACTTACCTCAATCTCTCACAGCTGTCACCCAGGGGGGTAGGTAGAGAGACAACGCGCTTTCATTTGGCACGATCCTGGGCCTGGCTCAACTTTTTCACTTTTTTCACATTCTACGCAGTCACACTCGTCAGCTTTGAGTAGGTACCTACCAACTACCTACTCTTAATTTAGCCCATCTTCAATGTATTATCGGCAATAAGTCGATAAATTTACGTCTATTTGAATATTAAAACATACCTTTTCTTCTTCATCAATTCTGGACATGAGCCAGTAAGTATTTGATTTTTATCAAAATAACAAGGGTGGATGCCCCTAATACCAGCCATGCCTCTAATTCCAGCCTTTCCGCCTTTTTACTTCGTAAATAAGATTTCTATTAGTCTTAACTACAAATATTGTAACCTAAAAAATTGTTCGTAACTAGAGGAAAGTATATTTCAAATATTACCTCACAGTTTTAAACCTAACAGTGTTAAATTAAAAATCAAAACACGTACGCGACGAAAAATGCTCATTTTCCTAATTTCTTGACAAGTAATGATCCCGGTAAAATTATGCTTACTTTACATTATCTCATATATAGGCTTTTTGATTTGTATGAATATGACTATAGACATATTCATGCAGTTATTTATGTTAAAATTTACAAGTTATTTATTTTCTTTTAGTGGAAATTATTGGGGCTGTAATTAGATTTACGAAATGTATGGAGTGCATAATGTCAGCCGCCCGGCTGTTATTTGGCTTGACGTACCTGATAAGAAGTACCTAATTTCAGCCACGTAATATAAATCAGGGCTGTCGTAAACTGGAATAAATACCATTAATTAGATCATAACTTATTTTATAGTTAAGGGAGTTATGATCAATTCCTCTGTTTTAAAATTGGTTTTAGATTTTAAAGTTTAGCAAAATATGTACTAGCTTTTTTATCTGACATTCGGTGTATATTAAGGACAGCTTATATATTCAATTATTTTTTAAGAAGAAAAAACAAGCAATAAATATAGTATATACTAGCTGTTCCCCGCGACTTCACCCGCGTGTAATTTAGGGTTTTAATTATGTTGCGCCTAAGTAGCCTAAGTTACTCCTTATAACATCAGCTATCGTTCAGTGAAAGTTCCGTCGAAATCCGTCCAGCCGTTTCGAAGATTAGCCAGAACAAACAGACAGAATTTTTTAAAAAAAATTGTGTTTTTGTTATAGGTACCGTATATACTTTCATATAATGCATTTAGTAAATAGATGTTATTTTGACATTACAAATAGACACTTCAATTTTATTTATTTGTATAGATAAGCAAAAACTATAACTTAGTAATACTAATTACAACTTAGAACATATTATATGAAAAACTCATGACAAGTAAAGTGGTTTAGGACCAGGCTTTGCGGCAGTCTATGGAGGAGAATGTTCAATAGTGGACTTGTGTAAGGTTGTAATGACGATGATGATTTGAAAACTTGCATGAATAATTTATTAGAAATCGATATACTACATAATATTTTATCATAATTTGCTTTAATTTATTGAACTGCTTTAAACTAAAACAGTAAGTTAAGTAGTAAAACATTACAATAAAATAATGTTGTCGTCTGCCTTAATAATATACCATGCTTGTCACATGCAAATTCAAAATCAAAAGTTAGGTACCTACAATAGGTACTTAACAAAAACTCAAAAGGCACAACCCTATGCTATGCTGGCATTAAGTACACAAAAGGACCACATTCGGTACAGGGTGGCTGGCATTTGAGCCATAACGCCTTTTCTTTTTTGCTTATCGTCGTTTTTAAAATTGTTCTTGCAATAATATTATTGTAAATAAATGTTCATTATATTTTTAGATAAATAACCTATCGATTAAAATAAATGTTTAAAAATATTGTGCCCTAATTAATATAGCGGGATTTTTTAAAGTTGAAATTGGCACTAAAAGGCTGGTAATAGGGGCATCCACCCAATTTATGTTGCAATAAGCATTTTTAATAAACTTATCAGAAAAAATTGTATGTAGGTACCTACTTTGTCAATCAAACGTAAAATAGTTAGGCTAAAATAGTTTCGTTCATCGGAGTTTTGTTTCACCTACCTACAGACACATATTAATAAAATTAGATCATAGTTCATAATAAATTTTAAAAACACACCAACAATACGCTTTGATCATGAGCTGTGATGATCATAGTGAGAATACCTACTAGATCATGGTCATGAAATAATAATAATAAATTTATTTATTTACCAGAAATATGATGTAAAATGATTGTATTGTCATCGATTCTTATTAAGAACCGATAACAAATAGGTACCTACAACAGAAAATGAAAGATGTTGAACATCTTTTCACCTGTTAAAAATTTTAAAAAGCTAACAAGTATTTATTAAAAGCGTGATAATTAACCAAAATAAATTTCTGTGTGTATTCATAGTATACCTATCATACTACCCTATACCTATCTTCTACAACTGAATTCTTTCTTTATAGTAAAGTATTAATATGTTTTATGTATTACCTATGTTTAATTTGAAAAAGTTTTTTTGAGATAAAAGCGTCGAAATCCACATCGATGAACCACTAAACCGGCATAACTCTCTTGAATGCGGACCAAATGGGTACACATCAATCCATGCTAATAAGGGGCCCCTAGAGGCAACTATACTGTCAGCTAAAACTACATCTGAGCAGTTTAACAATTCAAAGATTCGTTTTATTAGTTTTAATTCATCATTATTGTTTGTGATTAAGACGTTTGAAATTATTATCGCTATTTTTTTTTACATAAAACAGGTGACAAACGAATTTACAATCCACTTTTTTAAATAGGATTAGGGTAACAAACGAGCACACAGTCCACCTGATGGTGAGTGGTTGCTGTGGCCTATAGACATCTACATCTATCCTCGATTACAAATCAAAATGCAGATGCGTTGTC